CAGTTTGGGGGGGCTCTAGGGAGTTTAAGCGGTTTTGAGGGTCCCTGAGAGGGACTGGAGAGTCCCTGAAAGGGCTGGGGGGGGTCCCAGGTGGGTTTTGCGAGTCGCTGAGAGACTTTATGAGGTCCTGGCCGGGGGGAAGAAGGTTGAGTTATCTTAGGGGATTTGGGGTGTCCTTGAGGAGGTATCGATGGGTGCAGGGGTGGATTTTTGAGGGGATTTCAGGGGGATTTGAGGGGATTTAGGAGGGTCTCCATATTAGTCCTGCCTGGCCAAGGCCAACTCCGACTCCCATGAGGCCCCGCGTGACCTGCAATTTTCTGCCGTCCTGCAGCACTGCCTGCTGACCCGGCGGACCCACGCCAGGGAAAGGGCATTCTAATGCCCCCCTCCCAAACCCCAGACACCCCCAAAACTCCCCAGCAGTGATGTTCAGAGGGTCCTGCAACCCCCAGTGGAGGGGTTCTGGAGGTGTCCCCCGAAATCTTGGGGGGAAGATGTACCACATTTGGGTAAAGGGATGCCCCCAGTATAGCCCAGTGACCTCCCACTGCCCCTCAGTATGGCCCAATGACCCTCCAGTGAGCACCCAGTAACCCCCAATATGGCCCAGTAACCTCTCAGTGTCCCCCCGTGTCCTGGTAATCCTCCAGTTCCTGCCCCCAGTCCCTCCCAGTGCCCTCTCAGCGTCCCTCAGTAACCCCCCAGTGTGTCCCAGTATCCCCCAGTAACCACCTAGTGCCCCCTAAAGTCTCCCAACTGTCCCCAAAGGCCCAGATGTCCTTGGCCTTTCAGTGAGCGGGGGGAGGCGGGGAGGTGTTTTTGGGGTCAGAGGGTCCAGGGAGGGCTGCTGGGGGGAGATGGAGGGTTGGGGACATCAGGAATGGGGTTTGGGGATGGGGGGAAGGGGTTTGGGGACAGTGGAATCGGGGATGTCAAGGGGGAAATTGGGGCCATGGGGAGGCCCTAGGGACATTGGAGACACCAGAGGGGTTTTGGGGTGTCAAGAGGGAAACTGGGGACACCAAGAGGGTCTTGGGGACACCAGGGGGGACTCAGGACTCACTTGCTCGTGGTGCTGCTCCTCCTCTCCCCTGACAGGCCCCAAGAACCACCCTCAAATGTCCCCTAACCCCCATTTTTACTTTAATCCCCTTCCCCACAGATCCCTTTGACCCCCAAATGCCCCCAAGACCCCTTTTAACTCCTCCAAATGCACCCAAAGCCTCTCAAAACCCCCCAAAGAGGGATCACCCAGCACCCTGGTACAGGAACACAGTGGGCTGTACTGGGGGCGCTGGGCTCTAATGGGAAGGCACTGGGAAGGGCTCAGGTGTCCCATGACAATGTGGCCCAGCTCCAGGAGAGATCTGGGGAGCAGTGAGGAGGTCCTACTCTGTTCTGGTTTGTAACCCCAATCCCCAAAGCCCCTCCCCAGTTCCTTCAGGACCCTCCTGGACACCAAAACCCCCCAGGCCCCTGACTTGGTCCTACTGCCCCTTGAGTATCTCCAGCTGCTGCAGAACCAGGCATTTCATGAGCAAATTTGCAGATGACACCAAGTTGGGAGGGAGTGTTGATCTGCTGGAAAGCAGGAGGGCTCTGCAGAGGGACCTGGACAAGGGGGAGAGATGGTCTGGTTCTAGTGGGATGAGGTTCAATTTGCCATCATTAAACTCGGGGGACAAAAGTGCTTCAGTCCCACCTCTGTAATTCCTCTAAACTGAAACTATTTACATAATCCAATGCTGAGATTGGATCCAGCAGCCCCCAACACCCCACAGTAAGTTGGGAACTCAGGGGGTCACTCCCCTTTCCCAGCCCCCCTGTG